TATAAGAGTGTTTTAAAAATATAGGCATCATTTATTTTGGTTTTTTTTTTTCTTTTTTGTACCTTTGCTTTTAGATTTTTAAAGGTATATTTGTGAGATGGTAAACAAGATGGACGACCTTGCTCCACATATTAAGAAAAGTATCAGGACGCCAGGCATGGTGGCGCATGCCTTTAATCACAGCACCCAGGAGGCCGAGGCAGGTGGACCTGTAAGATCCATATAGCAAGTTCCAGGCTAGACGGGGCTACAGGGAGACTTGGTCTCAAAACGACCTGTTACACGCGCACACACATCTTTTATCTACAGTGCACTTATTTCCTTCCACTCATTTTATTTTCGGTGCCACCATTTCCTTTAGGCATCACCATGCTTTGCCGAACCCCAGCAGCAGTTCTAATAACTTCTTTCTTCGTATCGTATTGGAGAGAGCTCTTGAAAGTGTAATTCACGTAACTTGGGTAAAGCTCTTCAAAAGGTCCCATTACTTTTTAATGGAAGTCCAAACTCCTAGTCCCAGCCAGTTAAGCCTTGCTCACGTCCTCTGTCTGCTTCCTTCTGTGCCTTGTGCCAGAAGGCAGGTGCCGTTTTAGGCTTGTGGACTTTTGCCTCAAGTCTTTTTTTTTTTCCTTTAAATAAATAATTTATTGAAAATTACATACGTGCATATAAGATGTTTTGATCAAATCCATGCCCACTCCCTCCCCTCCAACTCTTCCCATATCTCCCTATCACATTTTCTGATAACTTCATGTACTCTTTCTTCTTCTTTGATTAATTTTTTTTTGAGGGGGGGGCTTTTGGCTGCTGTAACATCCCCTAACTCTGAAGAGGTGACCCTAAAATCTTTTAAGGATTAGATAAAAGCTCCCAAATATTTTGGACATCTTTGGCCTTTGGATCAGTGTATGTTGCTAAGATCGCCTCAAGTCTTGTCTTTGCTGTATCTCTACTGACTTTCTCTTCCCCACGCCATGTCTTGCTGACTCTTATTTACTACAGTTAATTGAATATTATTTTCTTATTTTAAATATATAATGCATTGTTCCTTAATTTCAAACTAACTTCAGGGTCATCACAATACTGGATGTTAACAAAACACACTTATTTTTCTGGCTTATTACTACATTAATGATATGAGAATAAACAATGGGATGAAATTTGGTAGGTAACTGATTACAGAGGAAATGAGGAATACTAATTCTCAGGCCTAACTTAAAAAGTAACTAAATTAAATCTACTTGCTGATTGCTTCTCATTTTTCCCTTCAAAATAGATAATTATATGTAAAAGAAAGAAGTAATTCAATCATTTGAATTTTCTGGTTAAATTTCTCAGTAAAATTGGAGCTTACTGTAATTATAGGAACTAATATAATTTAAAATAATAGATATAGATATGAAAAG